GGGTCCTGAAGACAGAGAAACAAGGAGTAACCTTGGAGAGAGAGAGAGACTGTTGGGAAGATAAAGGGCTATGAAGAAAAGACAGTAAATGAGAGACAGAAGGATGTGACAAGGTCAAAGCCAGAGACGAAGACAGGAAGAGTGAAAAAGAGAGAGCACAAAGGGAGAGAGGGGATGAGAGGCAGAGGGGGAACAGTGAGAGACAGAGCACAAAGGAGGCAGAGACAGTAGAAGGAGGGAAGGAGCAGGAGGGAAGAAGCAGGAGGGAAGGAGCAAGGGTGAAGGACCACACAGGGAGGAGAAGGAGCAGCAGGCTCAGTGCAACAGGGACAGGAAGCAAAGGGAGAGAGTGAGGGACACAGGTGGTGGGGGTGGAGGGTAGCCTGAGAGAGAACAGGAAGGGAGGACTGGGAGGGAGGACAGGGAGGAAGAACAGGAGGGGCAGGGAGGGGGCCTGGGACCGGCTCAGCTGCAGCAGGGACTGCGGGGCTGGCTCCCCAGCAGCGGGTGGGCTGGCCACCAGCCCAAGGTCTGCTCCACCTCCCTCCCCAGACTTTCTCCTCCTTCCTCCTCCTCTTTTTTCTCCTCCTTCCAGAGCCACACCCCCCCCCCTCCAGCTGAAACCAGCCCTTCCCTGTGTCCCCTGGAGGGCATCACTGTCCTGGAGGGAGGGTCTGAGCACATGAGAAGCGCCCCCCCCCACCCCCGCCCCATGCACACATGTCAGGAGAATCCCTTCCTTTTCTCTGGGGATCCCCCTCAGTCCCATTCTGGGGGTGCTCAGCAGCGATGCAGGAGAGGGAGAGAGGTCTGCAGCAGAGGGACCCAGAGGTAGACAGATGCAGGGAGACACAGACAGACAGACACAGGACAAAGCCAGTTACTAAGAGACACAGAGACACAGGGCAGGGAAACACAGGAAGACAGTTACAGGGAGAGCACAGAGACATAGGCTGCCATGGGGAGGGCTTCCTGGGTGGTCCCTGCCACTCTCCATGGGCCCAGACCAGTACCATCTTTGTTTCCCTCAGCCCCCCAGCTTCCCCTTAGGTGAACCCAGGGTCTGTGTCCAGTTGCTTATTCCTGTGGGAGCACAGACACCCCCCCCTCCCCACACACCCCGTCTCCACTCACTCGTTTATGCAGTGGGCGGCTGTGAGCACCCACTGTGGGTGCACCAGGACACCCCCGCACTGGAACTTGCTGAAATGGTACAGAGCTGCCTGCCAGGGTTGGGAATTCAGCTCACAGTCCCAGCCTCCTATAATCCGGGACTGGATTGGGGGTGCGGCACCTGCGGAAGGGGTGCTGGGTCAGGGCAGGTGGCCCTCGGGCCGGGGGTACTGGGCTAGGAGAGGGAGCTGTGATGTGGGGTTGGAGGGACATGAGGGCAGAGGAGCCGGGCTGGGTGCCTGGGGAGATGGGCAAGGGGTGTGGGGAGTTTCTGGAACTGAAGCCATCCCTGGGATTATGGATTGGTGACGGGTCCTGTGTGGGGAGACTATGCTGAGAACAGAGCCAACCACAGGGATCAGGCAGGAGATAAGAAGGCAGTGTGTAGAGTAGCATGTGTGCGGACCAGCTGATATGGGGGTGATTTGGGATCCTGGCCTGGGGAACAGAAAATTGTAAGTTCTGAGAGGGAAAAAAAAAAAATTCTAGAAATAGAGGATATATGCCCCAAGAGAGTGGTTCGAAAGCTGGGGAGGAAGGATTTGGGGGGTTACAGAGATCCCAGGCTGAGCAATTGGTTAGGGCCCAGGTTGGGCTTTTGGGGTTCTGGAAAGATTCAGGGGAACTAGGTCTGAGAGGCCAAGAATAGCACCTGGGCTGAGGAGTCTTGGTGTGATTTGAGGTCCCTTGATTGGGGCTGGGAGAGGGTCCCCTGGGGGTCTAATGTCCTTGAACAGGAACGGTTTTGTAAAAGGGGTGAAGCCGTGGAACTGGAGTTGGGGTCAGGACTGGAAGGGGGCTTAGGGGAGGCAGAGCTCCATGATAGTTCCTCTGGGATTGGGTGATTCTCCTGGAGATGGGGTTCATCATCTGCAGGTACAGGAGGGATCTGGGGTCTCTCAGGGGTGGTGCCAGATAGGAATGAAGATGGAGACTTACTGGGGCCAAGCAGCTATGGGAATGCAGGGAGGACCCACTCGATGTGGCGTTTTAGAAATATATGCTGGAGTACTGGTGGGGGGGTAGGGCAGGATAGCCGGCCTGTGAAGGTATTTGGGGATCCTGGAGGGAAGTCCGGAAAACCAGAGCCATACAGGAAGGATTCACTTGGGGAGGGCTGGAGCATGGGGAGGAAGGACATTCCAGAAAGGAAGGAGCCTGTAGCTGGGGGTTCTGGGTGTTCTTCCTCAGGGAGAAGAGAGGGTGGTGCTGGAGCAGGGTTCACAGACAAGGAATTGGGGAAGGAGGAGATATTTGTAGAATTCTTATATCATGATGGGGGGCCCCACCCAGAGGGGCCAGAAAGTCTGTTTGGGGAGAAGTATAGGTGTCTGATGGAATTTGGGGGTCCTGGGAAGATTTGAAGGGAGCCAGATGCCAGGGACAGGAGGACGTAGTTGAGAGCAGACAGCCAGATGGGAAAAATCACCAGGGTATAGAAGAATTTGGGGACTCAGGAGCCAAAGCCATAGAGAACTAGGGGGTGGGTGGGGGTGATTAGGGTCCCAGGGCCTGCTGGGATTGGGGGCCCTCCTTGGAAGAGTTGGAGTCCCCCAAAGAAAGAGACAGAGATGGCCCAGGCTCTGCTCCTTTGGTAAGGGGCAGGAGTCTGAGCAGGAAGAGGAGAAAGTTCTGGGGGTCCTGGGAGGGGGCAGGAACCTATTGCAAGAATGAGGACTGCAACCAGGAAGAGGGGCTGGGACTTTAGGGGCCTGGGTCTGGGGTGGAGTGTGGGAGAGAAAGAAGTTATGGGGGGTGAGGGCAGCATGAAAGTCGGGCCCACTCCCCCACCCCACATCTTCCCCACTGTCTCACCAGTCCCCGCCACCGACAGGGCAAGGCAGAGAACCAGGAACCACATGGTGACCACGGGCAGGCTGGTGGTGAGCTCGGAGCTTGGAAGCCTCCCCGAGGAGTGTTTTAAAGCCCTCATCTCCCCTCCCACCCTAGCCCCACCCCTGCCCTGCTGGCAACAGATACTGGCCAAGGCCCTGCCCCTGCTGCCTGGGGGCTGGACACCTCCTTCCACCCCAGAGCTGTGGAAGGGGCGGGAGACCGAGCACCTGTTCCACGCTGGCTCTGATTGTGCTAGAACCGTTCCTGGGGCCTGAGGTCAGAGAGGGCAGGGTTTGGAGCTCCTGGGCCCCTGATTTTGGAGACAAGAGCCAGTGAGGAGAGGTGTGGGGGGTGACTGGGAGAAGAAAGAGAGCGGAGGAATCAGTGACCACCAATACAAAGCCCCATACATCGGAACCCCAAGGAAAGTCACACACCTGAAGAACCAGTGCAACCTCAAACACCAGCAGTGGGGCTCTGATTCCCTTCTTCCTACACCACCTGGAGCCAAGATGCCAGTTTCTCAGCTTCAGCTGCCTCTGAAACGTAAGCTTTGGCTTTCAGAACACCCTGATTCTTACACTCCTGGACTCAGGATCTAGATCCCACCCTACTGTTTCTCTCCAAATAAAATCTTAGGGTACCTACCACCATAACCCTAGTACTCCCAGATCGAGAAGTATGAAGTTTCAGTGGTCTCCCCGATTATGTTTCCTAGCATTTCAAAACCCAGTGTCCCCCTGCCTTTCAACAATGTTGGGATCCCATTACACCTCACCCCTACTCCTTATTCCCCAGGATGCTCAAGGTTATGTCCCCCAAAGTCCCGTAAATTCCAGACTCTCTGCCTTCCATGGTCAAGTGCATCTTCTCCACAAATTCTAATTCCCCTTCCCCCAGTAAAATATTTAGGTCTCAGGAGCTAGGTTCATGTAGTTCAACATCGGGTGACCTTGAAGATCACCCTTGGGGGGGATCTCTGTTGAGAACTCGGAACCAGATTTCTGCAGTCTCAGTGTTAAATTCATAGGCCCCTGACACCTTCCCTTGGCTCTTCAGTAAAATCAAAGTACATCGCAGGGTAACCCAGTCTCCACTGTGTGTCAGGAAGCCCGCCCAAGGAAAGGAGAGCATTTGCCATTTTGCCTGGCTACCAAGAAGTCCACGATGAAGTCTCGAAGAAAATGAGGTCATTCTTGATCATCAAGTGTGCTGGGTCCTCTCACTGGAGTCCGGAGATATATTTGCCCAGCGCCAGGCACTATTTGAATCAGTTCATACGAGCTTCCTCATCTAATCCTTACAGCCCTGTGAGGGAAGCAATACGGTGAGTTCTGTTTTACAGATGGGAAAACCAAAGCTGAGGGGCACTGGGTCTTTTCCTCAAGATTACACAGGTGGGGGCGCCTGGGTGGCTCAGTGGGTTAAAGCCTCTGCCTTCGGCTCAGGTCACGATCCCAGGGTCCTGGGATCGAGTCCTTCATTGGGCTCTCTGCTCAGTGGGAAGCCTGCTTCTCTTCCTCTCTCTCTTTGCCTGCCTCTCTGCCTACTTGTGATCTTTGGCTGTCAAATAAATAAATAAAATCTTTAAAAAAAAAAGATTACACAGGTGATCCTATGTGTATGGAAATGAAGAGAGCCCTACCTCAAGCAGTTTCTCTTCACCTAGGCATTGGGGTGTGGGTGAAAAGGAACAGTGTACAGTGGCTCTGGGTCTCCCCACAGTCTCTGGCTCCCACTTCCTTTCATCCCCAGAAAAAAGTCACAGAAACTCCTATAGAGAAACTTGCATCAGCACTCTTGTTATCTCAGTGTTTAAAACGGGTGAACTTGAGCACCGGCCCTGGCCTGAGATGGGACAAGTCCTTGGATAACATCTGCCCCTTGGACAAATGAGGCCTTGAGGAATGGCTCAGTTCTGTCCCCAGTCAGGATGGGGCTGCTGGTCAGCTCTGGGAGCTTCTCCAACACAAGATAGGAGACCAAAACGATCAGATCCTCTTCATGCTTTCCTTAATCCACTCCAAGTAGCTACAGACTTTGGTATAGACACCAGGCTTGGTAGTAGTGTCACAGGGGACATCACCCCAGGACACATTGCCCTGCAAGACTCTGCCACAGACCAGGGGTCCCCCAGAGTCACCCTGTGGGGAAAAGGGAAAGTGTGAATGGGAAACTTCTGGATTCAGGGCTCCCATTCCTATCCCAATCACCATTCACAATCTCAATCAAAATCTAATCCAACCCCACCCCATGCAATCCCACCCCACCTCAACTCAATATAACCCAGTTTAGCCCAAACCAATCCAACCCAACTCCAACCTAACGCAAGTCAATACAACTCAGCCAACCCATGTTCTATCCTTCTCATGTAACCCCAACCCAATCAAACCCCTACATCTTCCCCATTCAGAATCAAACCAGACCCACGCCCATCCTCACTGCCAACACAACCAATCCTGTCATCATCATGTCTTTCATACCCTACACAAAGTTTTCCCTATCCCCCAGTTCAACCCAAAATATTTTCCATCTAAATCAAACCAGGGGCACTGGGGTGGCTCGGTCGGTTAAGCATCTTACTCTTGCTTTCAGCTCAGGATCCTGAGATGGAGCCCAGCACAGGGCTCCAGGCTGCAGTCTCTGTGCTTAGTAGGGAGTCTGCTTGAGATTCTCCCTCTGCCCCCTCCCCACCTCGTGCTCTCTGTCACTCCCTAAAATAAATAAATATATCTGAAAAAAAATCAAATCAAGCCCATTCCTATTCCCTTTTTAAAGATTTTGTTTATTTTTTAGACAGAGAGAGGATGAGCAGAGGGGCAGAGGGAGGAGAAGCAGACTTCCCACTGAACAGGGAGCTGGATGTGGGGCTCGATCCCAGGACCCTGAGATCATGACCTGAGCCACGCTTAACTGGCTGAGCCACCCAGGTGTCCCAAACCCATTCCTATTCTTAACTCAAACCCAGGCCACTCCAAACCAATCACCACATCATCCACCCCAAACACAACCTAATCCATCTCCAACCTCACCCCCATTCTAACTGCTCTTCCTTCTCCATCCCCAAACCTCTCCCTGGCATCTTCTCTGGCCCAAAGCAAGCACAACCTGACCCCATCCCAACTCCCAAACCTGTCCCTCTACCCCATGGCTCTGACCTCACAGGAGTCCGGGCCTCCGCCCTGTACCCCCCCACACACACACACCATAGAGGCCATCAGGTTGCCTGGGTAGTCCTTGTTACAAGATGTGGCTGGGGTAACACTGATGTTGGCGTAATGCAGGGTGTCTGGGTATCCCTCACGGGGGGAGACAGTGGACTTGGAGTGAATCCGTATTTTCAGGCCCTAGTCTCCTTCACCCAAGAGCCCTGGAGAATAGGGTCCCTGGAGGCCTGACACCCAGAGCCAACCTTTCATGCACCTTGTGACTCTGTGCTCCCTTTGGTCCCAGGCTTGTCATCAGACACCATGCCCTTGCCGGACACCACGCAGGCCTCACCCCGTTGAGGGCAACGTGTGGGCAGCGAGCGCCATGGGGCGCACATGCAGGGAGAGGCACGCGGGCCGTGTCAGACGTAGCAACATGTCGCAGCGATGGCTGCGGCGCTTCGAAGCGCTGGTGTGGGATGACTCGGGCCACAGTGCGCAGCCGCTTGGGACCACCGTGCTTGCGCAGATTGTGCTTGCCCAGGCGCACTCTCATGAGGCTGTGAGGGCGGGTGAGGGCAGGTGATTACCGGCAAGAGGAGTGAGGAGTGCACAGAAAGATCAAAGAGCGAGTGAGCTGGGGTCCCCCCACCTTCGGAGAATCTGGAGACGCCATGCACTGTCCAAGGCGCTGCAGCCAATAGCTTTAGCCCCTGCCACTCAGGGACCAAGGAGATGCACCCCTTCCTCCCCTGCTCCTGCCCTGGAACTCAACCCCCAGGTTTCAACTCCTTCCTCTGCAGAATCCAAGATGCTCAGATCCCTAGACCCTTGCCACCATGCCCCTCAGGACTTGGAGCCCTGCCTTCGTACCAGGTTTGGCAGTGGGTTGTAGACCGCACGCAGAGTGCGGAAATGAGGGAAGCGCCACAGCTGAAACTCCCATGCTCAGATAGGGCCACTTGGCATGGCTGGGAGTGGGGCTTACACTCCTCACTTCCCAGCATCTAGTTAGTGTCATCCTGGGCTGCTGGGAGAGGGAGCAGAGGAGGGTCGCTGAGGACAGAGTCCTTTTCCTTGGGTCCTACACCTTGCCTGGACCCTGCCCATACCATGCATTTTTCATTTGTGCTTTCCCCCAATCTCTTAAGATGTCCCTGTCCTTGAATTTTCAGCACTGCCTTCTCTCTGGCTTTTACAACTGCTGCTTGTTTTCTCCAGAACTGTCCCCCTGCCCTTGGCCCTCACCTGTTTACTACAGGATTCTGGGAGAGCAGGGAGGTGGGAAAGGACTAGAAGTCAAGAAGTCCTCTGAGATTAGTAGAGACAGCAACACTGGATACAGGTTCCAAAAGATGACAACTTGGAACCAGCCATTCAAGGTCACCAAGCTGTCACAGACATCAAATGGATGTGGCCACTCGATATGTATGACACGCAGTCTTGGCTTCAGAGTCTGAACATCTCAGCCAAATGCAGATATGGTCACACAAGGTCATGGGCAAACTTGGGAACAACCAGTCTCCCGAACTTAGGAACTGAGGAAGAGAGCACTTTAAGCTTAAATTCACTTGCATATACATGGGTTGAAGTTTCAAGAATCACAGCATATTCATAGACATAGTTGAATCTGAACAGCTACAGCATGGGCGTGCGTGCATGTGCGTGTGTGCACACACACACCCACATACCACAGACCCTGATTTGCATGTAGAAGTTCACACCTAAATTTACAGTCTCTAGGGGTGGCTGGGTGGCTCATTGGTTAAGCGTATGCCTTCAGTGTAGGTTGTGATCCCAAGGTCCTGGGATCAAGCCCCGCATTGGGCTCATTGGTCAGCGAGGAGCCTGCTTCTTCCTCTCCCTCTACCTGCTGCTCCCCCTGGGCTCGGGCGTTCTCTCTCTCTCTCTGACAAATAAATAAATGAAATCTTTAAAAAAATAAATTTATAGTTTCCAGTGTGGATCTGAATATACCAGTCACAGACTTGCATACTAGTGCACAGGGACTGGACAACATGGTGGGGTCCTTAATAAGGGTACATGGGGAGAGACGTACATATGAACTCAGACCCTCAAAGACTTTTTCACAGACATGAGTCTAAGTATAGTGTTAAATCTGGAATGTTAGAGTTAAGGCCCTAGATCCAAACATGTTATCTGTGAGCCTCTGAGCAAATTATTTGACCTCTCTGGGCCTATGCTTCCTCCTCTGTAAAATGGGATTATTCTAAGGATTAAATATGTGTGTGTCTATGATATCTGGCTTATTATATTTGCTTAATAAAGACTAGTTATTTTAAATAAATGACATAGATTTACTTATGTAGATGTACATGTGGATAATTAGGTTCTGGACAGAAATTTAGCCAAAGTAAGTCAGATATATGACCAGGCTCAGATGAAGAGAGTCAAGGTCAAAATTGTGATTCTTCTTCAAGTCACTATAGGGATTCAGAGTAAGAGACATGAATCCAGAGGGCCAATACTCAGATGTGGACCCACTAGATCAGACCCCAGGGAAACAGTGCACACAGGGCTAGGCATCTAAGGTCAAAGACGTAGCCAGAGACACAGGGCAGGACATATTTTCCCATCTCTAGATGAGCCCCCCACTCAGTCACTGGTGTTCAAGGTCACTGGGTTTCACATAGGGAAACCGGTTCACACATGTGGGTAGGATGTGGACACACAGAGCTGTGAACCGCCCGCCCCTCCCCGCCCCCCCCACACTGCACCATGCACAAGGACATAAACAGGGATATTTCAAGGTTACAAGATTATGATCTGCTGCGGGGCAGTGGGGATATGACCTCTGAAGGTCACGCAGACACCCACCCTGGGGCAGGAATTTGCAGAGCCAGACCAAAAGCCCATCCTCTGCCTGCCAGGGTCAGGAACTGAGCCAAGGGCCCTGGCAAGGTTGGGGGAATGCGGATGTGGTGGACAGGGGGCTTAACAAGGGAAGGACGGGGTTGTTGTCCTGCGAGGAAGGACAGAGGGTGCAGGCTGAACCTCCGGGTGTCGAGGCTGCTCCTGGCCAGTACAAGCCGGAGGCGGGTGCAGGCCCGGGCTGGGTGCAGCAGCAGGCAGGAGGCAGGGAGGAGAGAGCACAGAGAAAGCCTGAGGGGAGGCTGGCAGCAGGGGGGAGCTTCAAGGGGCGCCCAGAGGCGAGGGTCATGTGCGGGTATAATGAAAGTCCGCCCTCTGCTTCTCCAGAGTAAAGGCATCAGGTTACAGTTAAATTCTCCATGGGTGGTAGCTGAACATGGGTTGGAGTTTTCCTGCCACCCAGGGTCACCTTGACATAGTGGTCACCCCTCCCCAGCCTCAGCCCCTTGCCCTGTCAAATGAGGCTAGTAGAGACCACCCCACAGAGATGTTTTGAGAATTAGGGGATGCTCTGGCATATTATCCTCGTGACTGCCTGGCATCTACCCAGCACTCAGCTCACTTACAGGACACTACCCTGGACTAAGTATCTTCTCATGCCTCACCCACAGGACCAGATTTAACCCTTACAACCCTGGGGGCGTCTGCTGTTATCTCCATATCACAGAGATGTTAAGTCACCAGAACACAGTGAATTGGAATTCCAGCCCAGAAGTCTGTGTTCGTGGCCTCTTAACACTTGTTTAAGGCTTATGGTGAGCTTTATCTACATTATGCTACTGAAACCTCACCATTACTGTCACAGGTAGCTGCTGTCTTCTAGAGAAGGCACTCTAGGTAGAGAGAGGTAATTTCCTCAAGGTCACACAGCAAGGAAAGGGCAGCCCCAGAACTCGAACTCAGGTCTGTGTCACCCCAAGGACTGTTCTTGTTGTCCGAAGCAGCAAGAGGCCCCAGTTGACATGGGGACTCCAGGGCAGCCCCAGGCCTCTGATAGACTTAGGGTAGGGTGAGGACTCTGGGTGGGGGAGTAGTGGGGGAAGTAGAAGACTGTAGGGCCTAGATTTGTTCTTGATGTGGGGGAGGGGGACGACATTCCCATAGACCCAGACCTGACCTGGGCCCACCTCACCTGCAGATATCAGCAGGAAGGAGAAGGTGAGGAGCAGGGACAAGGGTTCTGTTGAAGTCTGGGGAGAGGAGAGAGTGAACCGGGTTGAGGCTGGACACTTGTGCCCTCACCTGGATCCTTCCAGACACAAACTCATCCCACCTGCTGCTTGATAAACTTCTTCTACCATCTTTGCCACCCCTCACCCCAGACTGCTCTTCCCACCCCCCGGCCTTCCCAGGTTCCTACCCACCCCAGCCTACCCAGGTTCTCCATCTCTGAGGGTTATGTTGTTCCTCCAGGCACCAAAACAGACCCTCAGGTGCCCCCACAGCCTGTCAGGCCCCAGCACCATCCCACTTGCTCCTGGATCTCTCTCAGACATGCTCGAGGCTCTGGCTCAGAATACGTTCTCCCCCGAGACCCTGACCCAGCCTCCTACCTGGCCTCCTGGGTGCCCATTGCCCCCCACCCCCCTGTCTGTCCCTCCAATCAAGTTCACACTCCCCCAGCCTACATGGCCTTTCAGGGTCTTTCCAGACCCAGAGTTGACCATGTTGCACTCCTGCTGATAGCCCTCAGGATATCACCAGCACACCCAGTAAAAAGTCCCAGCTCCCCAGCCTAACTTTCGAGGATATGAGTGGTTTCTCTCCTTCCATCAGGCCCTCTGAGAGGTCTCTCATGACCTTGCCCTTCTAGACACAGCTGATTCTCCCATTTTCCTTCCTTGATGTCATGCCTCCATGCCTCCTCCTCCTCCCAGGTATGCCATTCTTTCAGGATCCACTTGACTTTGAGGGATTTTCTGACCATCTCTAGTCAGTGGTGTCTGCCTCCTCCATCAGACTGAGAACTTGCTGTAGGCAGGCCTGGCCTGACTGAACACTCGATTCCTGGTGAAGGGTCCAGTCCATGGGAGGCCCTAACAAGCTTTGGGAATGAATTAAAGCCTTCCTCTTATCTTCCAACTTCTTATTTTCCCTCCAAGGCTCAGCTCCTACCTCTTCCAGGAAGCACTGAGACCTAGCAGGTATCTTTTCTGGGCCTTACAGCCCCTGGTGTACCTCTATCACATCACAGATCCCCAGGAATGCTCAGATAAGGTCATCTCTGTGTCCCTAGCCTGGGGCCTGGCACCTGGGACACCTGGGGAGGTTGAGCTGAGCTGAGCTGACCTGAACCCTTGATAACTCCTGACCTTTTCTTAGCTCTGATACAAGAGCTTTTGGGGACATCCTCCTGATTCACTCCATCCCCCTCCTCCCTGGCCCCTCCGCAGTTCCTTCTTGCATCTCCAGGACAGTTTCTTTGTTCAGGTCCAACTTGAGGCTTCGGTAAAGGGCACATGGACCTACACAGGTACCCTTGAAATTCAAGTGCCTCAGGGCAGTGTATGTCTGCTTCCTGGGACCAGGGCATCCAGTGTCTCCCCTAGACCAGGGCAGAACTGTGTCTTCCTGGGTGTCTCCCAGTCCCCCCATCCCTAGCTCTTGTCTCAAAGCTCTCACCCCAAAGATCCTCCAGCTTCATCTGGGGCAGCTTGGATGCCAGAAGAAGGGGAGCAGGCACCTGAATACCCGAATTTGTAAGCTCTGGCCCCACCTGGGGTCTCTAGGGGGTAGGGTGGGGTGGAAGGTGGCTGAGAGTCAGGTTTACAGGTGGGGACACCTAGGTGGCTAGTGGGGTGGGGGACCAAGCCTAATGAGTATTTATTAGGTTGAAGCTTTTGTCTGAGTCTATAAGGAAGAATTCCCTGCCAGGGACAGTTTCTAAAGGGAGAGGAGGCAGGAAGGGCAAGAGCCCCAAATCAGAAGAAATCAACAGATAGGATCAGCAATCTGGAACCTGGAACCTGGAATTGGGGTCTGGAGTGTAGAAACTGTATTCTAGCGCCATGATTCTTATGCCTGGAGTAGGGTTCTAAATCTTGGATTCTGGACCTGGATCTGGACCCCTCAATTCTGGGATTCTGAACCTTGGATC